CAGACCACTAGACAGGGCCTTGCAGGGTAAAGTATAAGAACTAGTAAGGCTAGTCAACTAACAAGCCTCTGTTTTTACTTAGAGGGTGGGGGTTTTATGCCAAAATGTGGGCTCCATTTTTCCACTTAAACTGTGAAAGAATTTATTTGATTCTTCTCCTTAGATTTGTTCCTTCTTGGCCCCTGTATTCCCAGCTTTGCTGGAAACTACTTCATCTACACAACTATTTTCGCTTCCAAGTCCACGTTCAACTATTCAAAGTGAAAGTTAGTTAATTTGAAATGTCTTCCTAAGCTCTCTCTTCTCTTCCTTTCCTTCCCTTCCACTTTTTCTTGTCCCTTTTTTATTTCATTTTAGTAACTTTATTATTTTATCATTGTGTCATTTTCTATTGCCTGTGTTTTCATAATCTTTTTCCTGGCTGGCTGGTTACTTAAGTCTTTTTTCCAAAAGCGTGAAAAATACTGTTTTGCAAGTGATCTCACCAGTCGTGAGTCAACTTGGTGAGCAGGCAAGATCAGCTCTGCCCTGACTTTGTTTGTTTGTTTAGAAACCAAGACAATTTCACTGAGTACTGAAACAGAAAGCAGAGGTAATTCATGTAAAACGCTGAGCCGCCATAGTAATTAAATCCCCTTTGCATGTCCACATTGTAGTCCTTGTGTCGGCAGTGTCTGTCCTCACTTGCATCGATGCAGGCAGCAGTGCACCCTGGATAGGTATTCAGCTGTGCAATTCACCACTATCTAGCTCAGGGTGTTTTGGGAAGGGTTTGTAATGCCTCAGGGGGCAAACAAGTCACACAGGCGTGACTGGGAACATGGTTTCAACATCCCATGATGCAGTTTTCTCCATCCCATAATTTTATCTGCATCCCGTAACATTTTATGCTTTTTTCAAAAGCCGTGCAAATCCATGTGTCTGCCGTCTCTGTGAGAAGCATGGATCCTGCACAGCTCTGCACTGTTGTAACGAGGATTGTGAACACAACGCACCTGATTCTGCAGTATCTATGCAGGGCCGTGGGGAAGATGACGATTCCATGCAGGCTGGCTTGCTGTGCGCCATGGAAAGAAGCAATTCAAGGTGGTGGTTGGCCAGATGGTGCAGCAGCAGTCTGGGCCCGAGAAACGAGCGCTAACGGATGGGATCGCATAGTTGCAGGTATAGGATGACGCGCAGTGATTGCAGTATTTTCGGATGCATAAGGCCACATTCCTGAAACTGTGTGTGGAGCTCGTTCAAGCCCTCTGGTTCAGCGACTCCAAAATGAGAGCTGCGCTCACAGCGAAGAAGCGAGTGGCAATCACTGAGTGGAAGCTTGCAACGCCAGATGGCTACCGATCAATTGGGAATCAATTTTGAGTTGGGAAATCCACTGTGGGGGTCACTGTGATGCAAGGGTGCAGGGCCTTTAATCACATCCTACTATGAAAGACTGTGATTCTGGGCAATGTGCAGGACATAGTGGATGGTTTTGCAGCAATGGAGTTCCTCAACTGCAGTAGGGGGACAGACGGCATGCATATCCCTATTGCGGCAGCAGACCACCTTGCCACAGAGTACATCAATAGAAAGGGCTACTTTTATTTGGTTTTGGAAGTGCTGGTGGATCATTGGGGGCATTTTACCACCATCAATGCGGGATGGTAAGGGAAGGTGCATGACGCACGCATCTTTAAGAACACATGCCTATTCAGAAAGCTGAAAGTAGGGATTTTCTTTCCAAACCAGAGGATTACCATTGGGGATGTTGAAATGTCAATAGTGATCCTGGGAGACCCAGTGTTCTCCATAGTCCTGTGGCTTATGAAGTCGTACATTGGACACCTCGACAGCAGCAAAAAATACAAGGCACAGAGGTCCTATTGTGAAAGTATTCACTACCCTTGATCTATACAGGTTACAAGCGCTACATTATCACTTCTGCTTGGGATTCATAGAGCATGGCAGCAGTCCTAGCCATGGTGAGTACAGCCCGGGGAAGAAAGGGGTAAATGTGGATAGGGCAATTGAACTGAATACTGGCATCGTTTTCCATAGACAGTGGTGGTTTTAGCTGATCCCTCACTCTTGAGGGTAATGGAGGCTGAAAGGGAACTACTCCTGCATGCATCTGGCTGCAGACCACGTCAATATATGCTGCTTGCCAGTGTGTTGCAGTGGTGCCTGCTGAAGGAATTGCTGAATGGTATGGGAAAGTGTCCTACCGTGGTGGAAGAAATAAGGCGGCTATCCCTAGAAACTTTCAGCGGAAGATTGCAAACTACCTTCAGGAACGTTTCCTCAAAATCTCTCTGGAGGGTTCACAGGACATCCCGGTGCACACAAATCATTCTTCAGGCACCCCTCTGTATGGAGGAATGAGAAGCAGATAGAGGTGGAGTTGCTATCGGTTATTTCACTGCCTCTTCTTGCCTGATTAAAAAAAGAGTAAATGAACAGATGTGTCCCTGCAAGATCAAAGCAAAGTACATACTTAACCAGAGGTTCCTTCCCCTTCATCAGGCTTGCCTGTGCTGGACTCTAGGGACTGGCTTGACTGCTCTGGAGTCAAACACATCCTCAGGGTTCACTCTGGTGGCCCGTGACTGAGTCCTCCAAAGTATCCACAGGGCCCTTGGGGGGACAGGGAGGGGGCGGGGGTGTTGCTTCAGAGGATGGCATGCAGCTCCTTGTAAAAGTGGCATGTCTGCAGCTGTGCACCCGAGCAACTGTTAGCCTCCCCTGCCTTCTGGTATGCCTGCTGCAGCTCTTTGACTTTCACGCAGCACCACTGTGTGTGCCTGTTGTAGCCTGTCTCCTCTATGTCCTGAACGATCTGCTAGTAGATATTGACGTTTCTGCATCTGGATCAGAGCTGTCCCTGCACAGCTGCTTCTTCTTACAGACCCGGGAGATACACCACTTCCTGTGTAATCCTGGCAAGACGTGGAGCAGGCATGGTCAACTGAGTAGTTGCTCTGTGAGCTCTCCATGGCTGAGCAAACAGGAAATGGAAGTTCAAAAATTCATGGGGCTTTAAAAGGGGAGGAGCATGTACCTACATATCTGGCCACAGGGCAGTGGAGATCAAAACAGTGACAAGATCGGTCACATGGGTCATTGTGGGACACCACCTGGAAGCCACTAAAGTCTAACTAACGCAGTGTCTGCACTGATACTGTCGCCCTAACTATGTAAACCTAAGAGCTACGCCTCTTGCAGGGGTGGAGTTAAGTTGGCATAGTGGGCAAAATACATCGGCAGGAGCGACGTTTTAGTGTAGACGCTTACAGAGTTAGGTCAGTGGAAGCTTTCTTGCGTTGACCTAACTCTGTAGTGTAGACCAGGCCTGAGTGTCCTTCACAGACCTGAAGAACAGCTCTGTGTCAAAAATAGTTTGGTGTATTTTCTTGTTTAACTCGTGTACCCTCAGCTAGCTGAATAGTTCTGCAGCTAGAAAGTCTAAATCTGGGGAGGGCCCACATGAATTCTGGGGAACTGTTTAAAAAAAAAATCATTAAACCCAAGATTTAATTTTTAGATTCTGGAGAAAAATTCCCACTCTAACTTTTTTTTTTTTAAGGTGCAGTATCCTGAATTGTAATAAATGATCTCTACTACATTATTCATAGTTTAGAATGTTTAAAAGAAAATATATTTTCAAAATGGGTCTGTCTAAAACGCATCTTAAACTTCATAGTTTTGTTTGAATTGATTTTGCTCAGTCCAAGATTCTGTATAAGCAGAATGATCATGATACAATTCCAACATAGTCATGAGTCATGTTTTGTTATGCAGTTATGTCACTGCTTACAGTGAGTGCTACAGGCAACAAATGATATTTCTAAGAGCTAATGGGTTATTGTTATCATTCAGGTGTATTAGGTTGGATAAAAAACCAAAATAAGAAAGTTCAGAGCTGTTATAATATTGTGAACTTCAAGTGTTCAAAAAACATGAGTCAGGCCCCTCTCCCCCCAAACTCATGAGATTTAAAAAAAAAAAAAAATGGGGGTACTTTACTTGCCTTCTGGATTTTTGAGGTTTTTAGGGTTTGTGTATTCAAGCTTTTCTCTGCAGTCATGAGGGCTAGAAACTACCTTTGCTTTTAAATGAAAGCTGTCTTGTGTCATCATGATTCAAGGCCCTGGGGCTTTAAGAGGAGCACCAAATATCATAAAACCAGGAACAAAATCAGCCAAACCAGCAAACAATATCATAAGACCAGCAACAAAATCATGAATTGGTAACATCATTGTCTGTAACGTTAATGAAGGACAAGTGCTCCAACATGTATAACTGCATAAAGGAGATAAATGAGACATTTCAGTTCTCTAAGGAGAGGGGTGTGTGTGTGTGTGTGGTTTTGCAAAAGAGAAGGCTGGAGAGTTCTCTGAGTTTATATGGAGTAGAGTTGTTATGCTGTTATGGAATTAGCAACTAATGATTTTGTAAACTGTATCACGAGTGCCCAGTTTTAGGGTCCTTTTTTAACCTTTCATAAGCTGAAATAAATATTGTTGGGGGAGAGGAGAAATGTAATTGGGGGTATTCGGTTTGTCCCAGGGACTATTTAATGCTAGACAAAATTCAGGGCCCCTTGTTGAAATTATCCTTGGAAGCTAAACTATAAAGCGTAGTGATAGATCTCAAACTATAAAACACTGCCACCCTGTGGCTTATTTCATGATGTTTATGATCTAATTCAATAGCACTGAAGTAAACTGGAAAACCTCTGAGAGGTATTATCACCACTGTAGATAAGGAAAGTTAGAGCCGTTAAATGCCATAAGAAGTCTATGGCAATGCTTAAATCAGTTCTTAGTTCATTTCTTAGTTACCCTACACCTCTCATATATTATGTAAAATAATCCAATTAAATATTTGAGTTATTGAGACACAATTCAACAGTGGCTCTTTTCCATTCTTGCTGATAGATCATCCCAGTTTGCAGTTCGCAGTGGTGATTTCCAAAGTCGTCGTCTTGTGCAAGATCGTTGCATGTCTTAAGAAACGGTTCTGGAATACCTCCTGTTTACAGATGGCCTACAGTGGAATGAACAAAGTCCCATTACCTTGATAGGGTGGCACTCGGAGAAACAGGATCAAATGGAGAAAGGAGAAACTTGGGTTGAATGGTAAACATTCAGACAGTTACACTAATAAGTAAACCGATTTATTCATGTCTGAATATCAGTGACATCGTAGCAGGATTTCCTTAAGCTAGGGGTAGTCAATTTATTTTTTGTCAAGGTCCAAATTTCTTGATCAAGGTATAGTCAAGGTCCAGGCTTCAGAGAAAATAATAAAAACAACAACAATAATGATGGCAAGTAGATAAAAAGATTTCAGGATCTGTTCAAAAGTGGCAGGCAGTTAGGGTTGCCAATTTTGGTTGGGTATATTCCTAGAGATTTCATCACATGACAGTCTTTAAAGATTAATCTTTAATTCCTGGAGACTTCAGGCCGTTCCTGGAGGACTGGCAACCCTATTGGTGATCCACCTATTGACTAGCCCTGCCTTAAACCTTCATGGTCCAGCACTAATTTTGAGCACTCAGTAGCTGACCTTCCCATAATCAGCCACAGACCATCCACCATTTCCTCACTGGTTGTCCCATGCTATGATGATCCTCCACCATTCCTCCCTTAATTTTTTCTCAAGGTTATTTCCATCTCTATGCTTAATAAGACCAAAATCCATAAGATTGCATGTTAATTTCCAACATCAGGGTCTGTTTTTCTCCAGTAATACTTCTAACACCTGCATTCATCTTTTTTTCCCATCCAGGAGATATACAAGAGTCTTTCCCAGCACCACATTTTCAAAGCTTTTATTTTCTTCCTATCAGCAATATTAACTTTCCATGATTCACACCCATAAATCGCTATGGAATAAATTAAGGTTTTTCACTAGTCACACTTTTGTACATTTCAAGATGCCACAGTTTTTCAATACTTTCTTAAGGGAGGCCATAGCTGAGCAAGTGATCCCTGGTTGTCTTCTGATTTCTTTGGAACAGCCTCGTTGGCTGGATATATATGATCTCAGTTAATTATATTAATCTGCTGCCGCTACAGCTTTGTGTTAATCAAGATGTCTTCTTCCATCCTGTTTTTCTTAGTCATCATGTCAATGTACATAATTTTGTTTTTGTTGCATTCAGGAATAGTCTGTATTCCTTACTAATTCTTTTTACATTTGTTTCATTGCATTGGTGATTGTAGCAAAGAGTATCATACCATCAGCATATCTGAGGTTGGTTAAGAGGTGTCTTTTGTAGTTTTAATTTTGTTTGAGGCTAATAGCTGATAATCTGACCCACAGCCCACACTCAGTGTTGCTGTATCATTAAACAGCTGATTTAGTTCTTTGTCTTACCATCAGGTGACTTCCATGTGTACAAACATCTAGGATGCTGGGTGAGGATAGTTTTTGTAATGACCAGATGATTAGAGCAGTGGTTCTCAGCCAGGATGTCTTCTGGGTTACATTAGTTCATCTAGATATTTGCCTAGTTTTACAACAGGCTACATAAAAAGCATTCGCGAAGTCCGTACAAACTAAAATTTCATAGACAATTATTTGTTTATACTGCTCTGTATAATATATACTGAAATGTAAGTACAATATTTATATTCCAGTTGATTTATTTTATAATTATATGGTAAAAATGAGAAAATAAGCAATTTTTCAGTTATTGTGTGCTGTGACTTCTGTATTTTTATGTCAGAGTTTGTATGTTTTTAAGTGAGGAGTAACTTGGGGGTACACAAGACAAATCAGACTCCTGAAAGGGGTACAGTAGTTTGGACAGGTTGCGAACCACTAGATTAGAGCAGCAGAATTCAGCTAAATGTCATCCTTTCTCACTTGTGAACCCAGACCATTGTTTCCCAGTACTTCTTTGAGAGCCTACAGCTCCATTGCTCACATTCAAGTCCCTAGTTACAAGGGTGATATCTTTACTCGATGTTTTTAGTGAGTGTTGAGTCCTTGATGGAATTCATTAATCACATTGTCTTCAACTTGTGTAGGGGTGTAAACCTGTTTGATGGAAAGACTGACTGGCTTTGCTCAAAGACAAATTTTAATGATTCTTTCACTGAGTGGATTATATTCAAGCGCACACTTGGATGTTTCCTTCGATGAGATTAATGTGACCCCATTTTCTCTCACTGGATCCTGAGTAATCCACTGCGTATCGGATATCCATCAGCATGAAATGATTCTTACCTTTCCAACATAGCATTGAGATTCCACGTATTCCATCTTACATCTTTCCAATTCTTTGATCACAATGGAGAGGTTCCCTTCATACACACTGTCACATTCTGTGTTCCTTCTCTGATTCATTTATGAAAGTTCAGGTCATTCATTTTCTTTGGTGCAGACATCAGGCACAGTATTTCCCAAAGAACTTGATGCAGCACTATCATAACTACAGCCTGTACTCTTAGTGGTTGGAGCCTCCCCCCAGTATTATTTGTTGTGCCTTCTGGCCTGCGGTGGGAGGTGTCTCACCTGACCAGCATTGCATGTGGATCGCTTTGGCTTTGTTCTGAAGTAATACTTCTTGTCAGAAAAAGTACAGAAGGTTTCCTGTTGCTTTCCTCTGGTTTGTGGCTGCTCTTGGTTAAACCAGCTAAGACAATTATATTAGGCTATAGAACAGTCTCCCAAAGGAACTGGTGGGAGCCCTATCACCTGAAACACTTAAAGCTAGGCAAAATGCTAGTGAACATAGTCTGAGGAGCAGTCCTGCACTGGCAAGGGAGATGCATTGGAATTCATTAATCACAATGTCTTCAATGTGAATAACCTAATGATTCTGTCACATCCCTTATTTCTCTAAGGGAAGTCTACACTACAAGCATTACAGTGACACAGCTGCAGCACTGCCATTGCACCGTTCTAGAGCTGTAGAGTAGACACTTGATACAGCAGTGGAAGGGTTTTTTCCATCGCTGTAGTAGATCCACCCCCTCACGAAGTGGTAGCTTGGTCAATGGAAGAATTCTTCCATCAACCTAGCAGTGTCTACACCGGGGCATAGGTCAGTTTAACTGTGTCTCTCAGGGGTGTGAATTGTTTACATCCCTGATGGACATAACTCAGTCGACCTAAGTTTTAGGTGTAGGTCACCTAATTCTTTTATCTTAGCAGTATACTCTGAATAGCCCTATAATGAGACTGAAAAAGAGCAGCAGATAGAACTAATTAATTTTTTTTTTTTTTTTTTGGTTCTCTGCCTCCTGAATTTGTGTAACAGTGCCCTTTCCCATTGTTCTTTAGTTTTGCAATACATCATCTTTTTATATGTAATTAATTTATTTTTCTTCTGCTGTAAAAGTAACTTGTCAGAACCATATCACACAGCTTAAAAAAGTACGTACCTGATCCCCTCTGCTGGTTCTGTGGTAGTATTAACATGACAAGAATTGTATGCTGTGTTGTAGCTGTATCAGTCCCAGGAAAAAAGACATTACCTCACCCACTCTATCTCAAGAATTGAGTATGCTGGGGTGTAGTATCAGCCAGAGCTGGCCCAGTACTATGGGGAGGAATCTCATGGACCTTAAAAAGAGAAGAAACCAGAATGGAGCGTTCAGATGGGAGGTGTGGGGCATTTCAAACCATTCAACAACTGATCAGTGGGGGCAATCTGTACAAACTGCTAAAAAATTAGGAGTTCAGTTCAGTCCATTTGCACATAACCTGTAAAACTCTCTGTGGATACTTGTATTGCCCGAGGTGGCCACTGGACATTTTGGTCTATGCATTCTCATGGGTGAGTTCAGACTCTAGTCTCAATCCTTGGGGGTGTGAATGTGAAGGGGGTCACATTCAGATCTGCTCCACATGCTCATTTTGGGGGATGTTTAGTCATGAGGTTGTCTGGTCTGTAGTCTTTGGGCAGGAAAATCTTGTGACACCCTCAAAAACAGCCTTTCTAGCTCTGTTTTGCTTTTCCCAGCAGGCTAGAAAATGCCTACATGTCTGATAGGTTAATTTCCTTTTCTGATAAGAGGTTGTGTAAGAAAAAAAGCTAAAATGTTGCCCCAAATTTGGGGGGGGTGTACCCCAGATTTTGATCAAGCTAATTTGCAACCTTATTGTGTGCATTCAGCCACCATGAATTAATAAAATACAACACCACATAGTTGAGGATTAATTTGAACAAGTAGGGCTTCTGGAGGCAAGGTCAAAACTAGCTGCAGGCTTGCAGTTTCTGCTAATCGGAATGGGAGGAGGGGAGAAGAAAAGAGTCAACAAATTGACAAAAAGAAAATAAGTGAAAATAAGTGAAAGAAAATAAGTGGATGGAGATCTTGAGTTTGGGCACCTTTGATATAAAAGCTTATTATGACTAACATTGTTAGGAATGTTTGTGGATGAGTAATTTATTGAAGTTAGAAGAGGTCACTATGGGTTATGTGTTTTATAAAAGTTAGTTATAAAAAGATTAGATAATAGTGTACTTTGGAGCAGTTCTCCGAAGCTATCCTGAAAGACTTTTTCCTGATACCATGCTCCTTGGCGGGGAAGCTACTAGCCATTGCAGACCACTATTTAATTACTCAGTACCATCTCAGATTCTAGGTAATTATTTGGGATGTTCTAAACCTATTACGTATGTCTCTGTGTGATTTAATCTAATAAATTATAGTTTTAGATAAGAGCATCCTTAATTGTATTAGTCTTTCATCAGCCGGAAGCACTGTGTTCCCATTGATTTATTTCTGATGCCGCCTGTAGTGAAACAGTTAAGTTACCACTGCTTTGGGTTCTGAAAACCCTAAGTAACAGAGTAACATTTACTCACAGGGCTATTTCCAAATCCCCTTGTTGCTTCTATGTCTTGGCTTTTACAGTAGGCTTTAAGCTCTGTTTAAAGTTCTAGGTTTAAATTCTTATTATTTATTTGTATTACAATAGAACTTAGAGGCTAACTGAGAACAGTTTGTGCTAGGCACTCACTGCACATACCTAGAGAGATGGTTCCTCTTAGCGAGCTTACAACCTAAATAGACAAGACTGAAGAAGTATTAGGGAAAGGGATATAAAGTACAAATGAACAGGGATGGTTTGAAAACATCTTATTAGTGCTATGATTTTTTGAGGGGGAGAGCGGTGAAGGGATTGGGTTTCTTTAAATGTTTTGTTGGGGATTTGTTAGGAGATCAGTTAAATGGAAATGCAAAGGAAGGGAGGAGAAAATTGCTGGGAAGGATAAAAGGAACATGGAAGGCAGGTGGAGGGAGGCATGGGTGCGGAGGGTTGGAGCAAACAATCAGCCCCGGAAAGAGGATGTCTAGAGTACAAACTGCTGCAAGGAGTCTGATGGTCTTCCACTGTGGCTGAATACCTGCTGCAACTGCTTCTGTTTGCAGCTGGCTAACTCTCTGGCTAGTGCTATTCAGGAATTGCTTTTAATCTATAACTTTATAACTCTCTGTGCCCTGGTCTACACTAGGACTTTAGGTCGAATTTAGCAGCGTTAAATCGATGTAAACCTGCACCCGTCCACACAATGAAGCCCTTTATTTCGACTTAAAGGGCTCATAAAATCGATTTCCTTACTCCACCCCTGACAAGTGGATTAGCGCTTAAATCGACGTTGCCGGCTTGAATTTGGGGTACTGTGGACACAATTCGATGGTATTGGCCTCCGGGACCTATCCCAGAGTGCTCCATTGTGACCGCTCTGGACAGCACTCTCAACTCAGATGCACTGGCCAGGTAGACAGGAAAAGAACCGCGAACTTTTGAATCTCATTTCCTGTTTGGCCAGCGTGGCAAGCTGCAGGTGACCATGCAGAGCTCATCAGCACAGGTGACCATGATGGAGTCCCAGAATCGCAAAAGAGCTTCAGCATGGACCGAATGGGAGGTACGGGATCTGATCGCTGTTTGGGGAGAGGAATCCGTGCTATCAGAACTCCGTTCCAGTTTTCGAAATGCCAAAACCTTTGTCAAAATCTCCCAGGGCATGAAGGACAGAGGCCATAACAGGGACCCGAAGCAGTGCCGCATGAAACTTAAGGAGCTGAGGCAAGCCTACCAGAAAACCAGAGAGGCGAACGGCCGCTCCGGGTCAGAGCCCCAAACATGCCGCTTCTATGATGAGCTGCATGCCATTTTAGGGGGTTCAGCCACCACTACCCCAGCCGTCTTGTTTGACTCCTTCAATGGAGATGGAGGCAATACGGAAGCAGGTTTTGGGGATGAAGAAGAAGATGATGATGAGGTTGTCGATAGCTCACAGCAAGCAAGCGGAGAAACCGTTTTTCCCGACAGCCAGGAACTGTTTCTCACCCTGGACCTGGAGCCAGTACCCCCCGAACCCACCCAAGGCTGCCTCCTGGACCCAGCAGGTGGAGAAGGGACCTCTGGTGAGTGTACCTTTTAAAATACTATACATGGTTTAAAAGCAAGCATGTGAAAGGATTACTTTGCCCAGGTATTCGCGGTTCTCCTAGATGTAGTCCTAAAGCCTTTGCAAAAGGTTTCTGGGGAGGGCAGCCTTATTGCATCCTTTATGGTAGGACACTTTACCACTCCAGGCCAGTAACACGTACTCGGGAATCATTGTAGAACAAAGCATTGCAGTGTATGTTTGCTGACATTCAAACAACATCCGTTCTTTATCTCTCTGTGTTATCCTCAGGAGAGTGAGATATAATTCATGGTCACCTGGTTGAAATAGAGTGCTTTTCTTCAGGGGACACTCAGAGGAGCCCATTCCTGCTGGGCTGTTTGCCTGTGGCTAAACAGAAATGTTCCCCGCTGTTAGCCACAGGGAGGGGGGAAGGTTGAGGGGGTAGTCATGCGGTGGGGGGAGGCAAAATGCGACCTTGTAACGAAAGCACATGTGCTATGTATGTAATGTTAACAGCAAGGTTTACCCTGAAAGAGTGTAGCCACTGTTTTATAAAATGTCTTTTTAAATACCGCTGTCCCTTTTTTTTTCTCCACCAGCTGCATGTGTTTCAATGATCACAGGATATTCTCCTTCCCAGAGGCTAGTGAAGCTTAGAAAGAAAAAAAAAAAAAAAACGCACTCACGATGAAATGTTCTCCGAGCTCATGCTGTCCTCCCACACTGACAGAGCACAGACGAATGCGTGGAGGCAAATAATGTCAGAGTGCAGGAAAGCACAAAATGACCGGGAGGAGAGGTGGCGGGCTGAAGAGAGTAAGTGGCGGGCTGAAGACAGGGCTGAAGCTCAAATGTGGCGGCAGCGTGATGAGAGGAGGCAGGATTCAATGCTGAGGCTGCTGCAGGACCAAACCAGTATGCTCCAGCGTATGGTTGAGCTGCAGCAAAGGCAGCTGGAGCACAGACTGCCACTGCAGCCCCTCTGTAACCAACCGCCCTCCTCTCCAAGTTCCATAGCCTCCACACCCAGACGCCCAAGAACGCGGTGGGGGGGCCTCCGGCCAACCAGCCACTCCACCACAGAGGATTGCCCAAAAAAAAGAAGGCTGTCATTCAATAAATTTTAAAGTTGTAAACTTTTAAAGTGCTGTGTGGCATTTTCCTTCCCTCCTCCACCACCCCTCCTGGGCTACCTTGGTAGTCATCCCCCTATTTGTGTGATGAATGAATAAAGAATGCATGAATGTGAAGCAACAATGACTTTATTGCCTCTGCAAGCGGTGATTGAAGGGAGGAGGGGCGGGTGGTTAGCTTACAGGGAAGTAGAGTGAACCAAGGGGCGGGGGGTTTCATCAAGGAGAAACAAACAGAACTTTCACACCGTAGCCTGGCCAGTCATGAAACTGGTTTTCAAAGCTTCTCTGATGCGTACCACGCCCTCCTGTGCTCTTCTAACCGCCCTGGTGTCTGGCTGCGCGTAACCAGCAGCCAGGCGATTTGCCTCAACCTCCCACCCCGCCATAAACGTCTCCCCCTTACTCTCACAGATATTGTGGAGCACACAGCAAGCAGTAATAACAGTGGGAATATTGGTTTCGCTGAGGTCTAAGCGAGTCAGTAAACTGCGCCAGCACGCCTTTAAACGTCCAAATGCACATTCTACCACCATTCTGCACTTGCTCAGCCTGTAGTTGAACAGCTCCTGACTACTGTCCAGGCTGCCTGTGTACGGCTTCATGAGCCATGGCATTAAGGGGTAGGCTGGGTCCCCAAGGATACATATAGGCATTTCAACATCCCCAACAGTTATTTTCTGGTCTGGGAATAAAGTCCCTTCCTGCAGCTTTTGAAACAGACCAGAGTTCCTGAAGATGCAAGCATCATGCACCTTTCCCGGCCATCCCACGTTGATGTTGGTGAAACGTCCCTTGTGATCCACCAGAGCTTGCAGCACTATCGAAAAGTACCCCTTGCGGTTTATGTACTCGGCGGCTTGGTGCTCCGGTGCCAAGATAGGGATATGGGTTCCATCTATGGCCCCACCACAGTTAGGGAATCCCATTGCAGCAAAGCCATCCACTATGACCTGCACATTTCCCAGGGTCACTACCCTTGATATCAGCAGATCTTTGATGGCGTGGACTACTTGCATCACAGCAGCCCCCACAGTAGATTTGCCCACTCCAAATTGATTCCCAACTGACCAGTAGCTGTCTGGCGTTGCAAGCTTCCACAGGGCTATCGCCACTCGCTTCTCAACTGTGAGGGCTGCTCTCATCTTGGTATTCATGCGCTTCAGGGCAGGGGAAAGCAAGTCACAAGGTTCCATGAAAGTGCCCTTACGCATGCGAAAGTTTCGCAGCCACTGGGAATCGTCCCAGACCTGCAACACTATGCGGTCCCACCAGTCTGTGCTTGTTTCCCGAGCCCAGAATCGGCGTTCCACAGCATGAACCTGCCCCATTAGCACTATGATGCATGCATTGGCAGGGCCTATGCTTTCAGAGAAATCTGTGTCCATGTCCTGATCACTCACGTGACCGCGCTGACGTCGCCTCCTCGCCCGGTATCGCTTTGCCAGGTTCCGGTGCTGCATATACTGCTGGATAATGCGTGTGGTGTTTAATGTGCTCCTAATTGCCAAAGTGAGCTGAGCGGCCTCCATGCTTGCCTTGGTATGGCGTCCGCACAGAAAAAAGGCGCAGAACGATTGTCTGCCGTTGCTCTGACTGAGGGAGGGGCGACTGACTACACGGCTTACAGGGTTGGCTTCAGGGAGCTAAAATCAACAAAGGGGGTGTCTTTACATCAAGGAGTATTTCAGGCAGGACTTCACGGAGGGTTCCAATAAGAAATGGTGCACCTAAGTTATCGTTCTTATTGGAACAAGGAGGTTAGCCTGGCCTCTGATTGATACATGGCTAGATTTACCTCGCTGCACCTTCTCTGTGAGTGACTGCAGTGTGACCTAGAGGAATGATTCCCCTAGACAGGGGAGGAGGCAAATGAGTACAAAACAAATCTGGTCTATTTCTTGTTTTGATCCACTCCATCTATCTTTTACATCTTTGGCTGGCAGCAGACGGTGCAGAAGGACTGCATGCCATCCACATCTCATGGCTGCTCGGCAGAAGATGGTACAGTACGACTGCTAGCCATCCTCATCTTTTGCCTGCCTGGCAGAAGATGGTACAGTACGACTGCTAGCAATCCGTATCGCCTGCCTGCTCACCATAAGACGGTTCAATAGGACTGACTGCAGGACTAAAGAGAATGACCTGGTCAAGTCACTCCAAATTTAGTCCCTGCGCCCATGTCTGTCCAGGCGCTCCCAGCCGACGTGGCCAGGAGCACCTCGGACATGACGATGACGGCTACCAGTCGTACTGTACCGTCTGCTGCCACAAGGCAAGGGGTTGCTGCTACTGTGTAGCAATGCCGTACCGTGTCTGCCAGCACCCAGGAGTGATAGGGTGACGGTTACCTGAGCGGGCTCCATGCTTGCCGTGGTATGGCGTCTGCACAGGTAACTCAGGAAAAAAGGCGCGAAACGATTGTCTGCTCTTGCTTTCACGGAGGGAGGGAGGGAACGGGGGCCTGACGATATGTACCCAGAACCACCCGCGACAATGTTTTAGCCCCATCAGGCATTGGGATCTCAACCCAGAATTCCAATGGGCAGCGGAGACTGCAGGAACTGTGGGATAGCTACCCACAGTGCAACGCTCCGGAAGTCGACTCTAGCCTCGGTACTGTGGAAGCGCTCCGCCGAGTTAATGCACTTAGAGCATTTTCTGTGGGGACACACACACTCGAATATATAAAACCGATTTCTAAAAAACCGACTTCTATAAATTCGACCTTATTCCGTAGTGTAGACATACCCTGTGATAGGGTATATCAGGCATTTGCTGCCCACCGCCAGAGACCTCACTGCCTTGGTACAGCCTGTCCTAGGAAAAGAAGGGCAATGAGTTTGGACTTCCAGTTGTTTAGAAAGGCCTCCCACAGTCAGCTGCTGGCGGAACCAGAAAGTTGTAGTCCTCTAGCAGCTAGAAGGGCTGGGAGCAGGCAAAGGCCAATCAGGGATCAGCAGGTCAGATGATAAGGACTGGCTGCTATTAGATGGCAGTTCTGGGTGAAGCAGAAGAAAAGATCTTCACTCTGCCTTAGCCCACAAAGCCAGGCTTTGTCAGGGGCTAATTCTGAGCACTCTTCTTTTAGATCAGTGAGAGGCTTTTGATTTATTTTGTGGCATGTGAGGCCCAGACAGGCCATCGTGAGTCCAATATTAATTGGACTTCGAATTAGGCATGCTCACTTCACAGGACACCCCACCCCCCCCACCCCCGCTTCAGGCAGGTCCATGACACACTTCTATCAGTATTGCTAAGCTTAGGCATGGTAACATTTGGTGTGACTTACTTTTGTGGATTGCAGACTCTGAAGGTGATTGGAACTTAGGTTTTAGTCATTTTATATGCATCCCTAAAGTGAGTTTGCAGTGTATGGAGCACGCTGATGTTGAACAAAGTTTAGTACTCAATGTCCTTTTGTCTGTTATGAAACACATGCTTTTGGGGACAAATATCAGAGCAGGAGTCCTGAGATTCATTTTTAGCAGAATTTACCATCACTGTGGGTTTACTGCCTTTATGCACACAAATACGTATTTAGCCATCTATTGGCCATTGAACTACAAGCCACATACTTTATCCTTCCCCTAACCAATCTCCTGCATTGCCCTACGGACTCTTACTTCATTACTTCTCTGTCGTTTTCTTCCTGGGTGCAGAACTATGCTCTACTGCCTTAGGGTTTTCTGTGCTTGTGGAAGGTGAGCAAGCTTTGGTGTGTTTTTGTATCCTGAATTCTCAAGCTGTTTTTAATCTCTGGTAGCTGTAAACTCCATGGCACCAGAAATCTAGCATGCTGAACTGGTATCTAGTACGTGGCAATTACACCTCCCAGTATTAAAATTGGACTCAATTGCACAGTGTCTTGTGTGTGCCATCTCATTACTGTTTTGCTTTTATTATAATCTAGAAATTTAAAAGATTATTATTTCCATTATATTTAAGGGTGACCACTAAAACTTTCTTGTTTAATTCTAGGTGTTATGTTTGCAACAAAAAAGGACGGCTGGTAAATGCACCCTATGTGGACAACTCCTACAAGTGGGCTGGTGGCGGCTTTCTTTCTTCAGCAGGTGACCTCCTGAAATTTGGAAATGCCTTGCTGTACAGTTATCAAGTTGGACAGTTTAAAAACAGTACCAAGAAACTTCTTCCTGGCTACCTCAAACCAGATACGATTACAATGATGTGGACCCCAGTGCCAAACACTGAGGTGTCATGGGATAAGGATGGAAAATATGCAATGGGTTGGGTTGTTGTGGAGAGAAAGCAAGAATATGGTTTTTGCAGACAGCAGCGACACTACATCTCCCATACTGGTGGAGCAGTGGGTGCAAGCAGTGTCCTGCTTATTCTTCCTGAAGAGTTGGACTCTGAGGTTATAAACAGTGGGTTAGTGACCCCTCCCAGGGGAGTAATTGTTAACATTATTTGTAATATGCAGTCAGTTTCCCTCAACAGCACTGCCTTAAAGATTGCAAAAGAATTTGAAAAAGACAAATTGGCATGATACTTTGATTAAAATATAGTGTAGGTCTGAATAACTGTACTGTAGTATTGAAATAGGAACAAAGTTTTTAAAAACATAAGGGTACACGTGAGCGCCAAGATTGCTAGGAATACACATTTATCAGATTGTAAAGAAATTAACCTATATGACTGTTGTTAGTGGTGCTACATTTTTGTGTATTTGGAAGTCTTTGCTCAGGGAAGTAGCTCTGTAGTTGCTAACTTATGGAAAAGGGGTGAAAAAAGGCATTCTAAGAGAACACAGTTATTATGTAAATCAGCCATGCAAATCACCAATGCTGGAGCAATGTTTTTTCATATCAAGCCAAGGTACTGACCAGTCAAGATCGATAAATATTGTTGTTGGCCTTTACCAGAAAGAGGGTGATGTTTACTCTTTGTCTTCTAGACACTTTTGTATTAGCAAATAAATAATTTCCTTAAATGTAGTAAAATTAAGGAAAACTTGTATAGAATCAAATAATCACAACATGCAAGACTGACTTCGTTTATTGCCATGTTATATTTTTTCACATTCATGCTGGCGAAAGTTGTTCACCAGTATTTTTGAACAGTCACTTTAAAAATAGATATTTTGCTTTTTAAAAAACATTGACTAGAAAGTTTTGTATTTCTGTCCAAAAACAAACCCCACTGAAATGAAACTGAATTTGCTCCCAGGCTGAGGATGACTATACACTAGATTTCATCAGAAGCATGTTTTTTAACAGAGTTGCAACACTCAAGTTCTTGTTCAAAATTAGAAAAGGATGAAACTTAGCATGGTGAGTTAAGCTGGTCTTTCATCTTTTAGAGGACTGCTTTTCTATTCTGACTGGTACAAAACAAATGAGTGAAGCCAGCCTGCTGGCCTAGTGGTATTCCTTTACTCTTTTGTGTTGTATCAGAATTAAAATATTCTATATAATGAGCAAAATCATGAGAGATTATTCTTGAAGTCAGTATCAGAATTCCCACTGACTTCAAGAGGAGCAAGATCACACCCAGAGTATCTCTCACTTCCCAATTCAGAAGCTGTGCTGTGCGGACAACTCTGCTCAACAGTAATCGCCTCTGGATGAGCAAGAAGTGATGCTGAGAGCTTTCCAAAGGAAATCTCATCTGTGCTACAGAGGCACAAGGAATATTGAATCAGGGATCCAGCACCTAAGGGTGCTCCATAATGGCTGTGGAGGTTCTCTTCTCTCTCTCTCTCTTTCCAGAGGGACACTAAAGAAGATCAGCTAAATGATCTCTTAGTATTTAGTCATCCTTCACTTAAAAACAATCTACGTTCTTTCTTTCAGAGTCTCCTTTAGTTAATCTAGTTTTGCCTTGAATATCTTCAATATGGGCAATTATGTTCTCTCTTTTTGGCAGTTTACTCTATTGTTTAATTAAAACCTCTACAAAAGGCTTCCTGCTACTTTTTTTTCTTAATTTTAAACAATTTTGGTTATACTTCCTAACAGGAAAAACTTGTCTAAAATTCCCATAAAATCTTTTAGACAAGGACGTATTTTATATATCTCCTTACCACCTTTTTCTGTTGTTTTTACATGATGAATTTTTAATTCAATCTTTTTTTCACTGTAGATGTGCCAACTTCTTACTTGTTTTCCCCTACAAATTTAACACATTTAGCCCAGATTGAGTTTCTTGGAGTGCAAGAACTGCTTAAATAATCTATTAACTTTGTTCCTTTCATGTGCATCTTTTGGTTAAATTTGTCACCAGCAAAACAATTTTTGATACTGGCTTTGTTAGAGAGACCATGTCCTCCTTGTTCAGTGATGAGGCTGTTGTCTCCCCTATATTTAAAAAAAAAACAAAACAGGAATTTTACAAGAACTGTGAAATGTTTTATTATTTAATATATACGCTTACTGAAGTTTGAGCAGATGGAAAGGTAGTATAACATGCATATGATTTAAATGTGCATGTCTATATAGATAATGCAGAGTTGAGGCATTACCTATGTTCCTTTTGTTCTCATGTAATACTATTTATTCAGAGATGGCCAAGTGTTCACAGGCTCAAAAGCAATCTGCAGAAGATGATCATAAGAAGGACTTGCTATAATAGTAGCAGATCTTCTGTATTCTCATTTTATGAGTTCTGATTACAATGTAACGATCAATCTGGATTTTAAAATGTACAGACTGGAAAATGAAAGTTGTGAGGTTTTTTTTTAAACATTTACAGTATGGTCTTAATTCATTTATTTTAGCAAACATTTTGCTTAATTATAATGGATTTTGATAAAGCTGTACCTGTAATCCAGAATACTGTTTTAGTATTAATAGTGAGTTAAAGGAATTTTAAGTACATTTTTTTTCTTCCTGTATATCATGTGCACAGAGCATCAGGTTGGTGTACTAAAAAAAAAAATCACTGAACTCCCCCACACATGTAGGTAGGTACTCACAATGCTACTGCTGCTGTTGATATTGCAGAGCTTGGCTAGCATTCTTATAGCCCCTGTGCTTGCATACTTCACTGGTGATGTATTTCTTCATGAGGTTGCAGAGTGGGAAGAATGCTGAATATGTACATCTTTTCCCAAATTATATCTGGTTTCGCAGGAGCATGCCCCCACCCTTACTCAAAACCTTAAACACAAAAGTTGCTCCAAAATGAATCTCTAACACTGATGCAGGTGCCACAGCACTGCTTAGCAATTCTGCTTCTCTACCTGAAGGGGAAGGATACTACAGGCAGTAGCTGAAAGAACATTGGCTTGCCTGTCCCTAACTCTGCTACCACCCTTAGCATTTGTTTCACAAAGATTTGACTTCAACCATGTGGAGAAATACCATGTCAGTGCCGCATTCACATTTCTCCTGTTATAGTTTGAGATGTGACATACCAAGAAATTTATTTTTATTATAGATGATCTGTGATATTTAGCAGAATTGTCAGTGGTTTACTTTACACAGATTCCTAATTAAATGTAAATGCCTGTCTAGTGCTTTCATGATTATAGTTAGTTATTTTATGCCTTAAACAATAAAAACTCATTTTATTAAACTTTGTTTTGTGCTAAGTGAGTTTGCTTCTTGGCTGACCAAAACTATATTATCTAGTCAGTGTTCTAAAAATTATTTTTTTTTTAAAAATGGGAAAAAATGCTCATGGATGCTGAGGATTGGGCTTCTTCTAAAGTAGCCAGGAGCTAGTTTGACATTTTCGTATTGTCACAAAATCAGTTCATGTAATTTTTAACCTAAATCTTTAACACTGATGGAAAAATATATCCAGTATAAAAACAATGGAGATAAAGGTTGTAAACTTGTCACATTATAATTGGAACGCTCTTTCATAGTCTTGCACAACATTTATCAAGTCACTAGATACTCAACAGCAGAAATCTGTACTGTTTCATAAAACATGAGTTGTTTGCCCTGGATGGCTTAGTTCCTGCCGGGTTCATGAAAAGCTGACAGCCTATAAGCTATTAAATGCAAAAACACTAAAACGTAAAACTTCTACTGTAACATGTTGTTGCTGCTTTATTTTTTTTCTATATCATAAATACTCTGGAAATAGTGATCTTTGCTTAATGGTTCTTAAAAGTAAGGGTTTTATGGTTGTGGAGAGGGGGTTTATCAAAAACAAACTTACTGACCATTGCATTGGATCAGATAAAGATCTAATATAACATGCATATACCCAAGCATATTGCTCAGACTACCACAGCGCATACAGCACTAGTGATAGGAAACACCCCAATGTAAGTATTTGAAATGGGTATGAAAGCAAAATTCATGGCAAGAAATAAGTTTGAAAACACTTTTAGCAATCAAAGCTACTAGTGAGAACATTTTACCAGCGTACACATAGCAGTTGTAGACTTTCTATATCCAAAAAGAACATACTTACCTCACTGTGGAGGTAATTGCCTTTTTTTTTTAAATAAAAAGCAAACACATTCTTGCTTCTTGAAGGTAAATCAGAATCACTGGTTGATGTAATTTGCTGTATGGAAGCATTACAGGAGTTTACATCTCATTTAAGCTACTGCCAGCAGCCAGGATTAGACAGAACGACAAGATGGGTTATTCAGCTACTCTGGTTTGGCAATACTTAGTTATTCCAGGTTTTCTTAAAATCTCATGTGTGAAAAGGAATATCAATCACTAGTTTTAGCTTGTGCTTATATCTAGAAAGAATTGAGTGCCCTACTTGCCTCACTGGCATTTCTAACAGGCTGTGGGCAGTGTTTAGCCACCTAGAGCAATTTGAATGATACATCAAATCTGACTTGAGTTACTTTGCTCTTAAGTTTTCCTGTGTTTGTCATGAAATCTTAATATGGTTTAAAGTTGGTAGAATATTTAATAGTTATGTAGGGATCAACTAATTGACAGAAGCCACTCTGCACCTTTAAGAAAAACATACATACCAAGGATTTTTTTTAAATGAAGAGATGGACACTGAGAATTCATTTTCACTTTCTAAGAAGTGCAGTAAAACATCTCAAACTGATGCAAATACAGTATCAAGCATTATTTTTTATTGATTTGAAGCTGACATCATGCTCTTACCACAAAAGAATAGTTTAACTTGGGAAAGACAAAATTTCCAATGCCAGCCAAACGACGAGAAGATGTACTTTATGCAATTTTGAAAAAAAGTTCTGTTTACATATAAATCAAGACATTACTATAAAATTATTCTTCTTAAGATATAGATTTAAGAATGCAGTCTACATGGTTTACCATGTAAAGAAATAACTGAAATGTCAATTGTTAGTATTCCATGGTAAATTAGAAAGAGAAGCAGTCCTTTTAAAAACAAAAGCCAACCAATTTTTTTTCCTCGAGCTGGTTAATTGTTATGCATAATATCTTTTTAGAATTTACAATGCTAATTTATGGTCTTATAACAGAATAAAACCTATTTAATAGCAATTTACTAGCCTTAACAAGCATTATACCAACATACTTTATTTTCTAGATTAACCCTGTCACAGAATGGAACTAACTTTTTGAATTGAATTTTATTCATTTCCTTGTGACTTGATGCCATTCATAGCTCTCTAATAGTTTGCTGTCTAATAAGTATTTGTTCATATGCCATATCCCCTATGCAGAGAGAATGCTTTCTAGTTTTCCTATGGAAAAGTGTTTGCTTTATATATCCATCTACCAGTTTTAACCCCATGTATCACAACAGCAGCAAAAAAAAAAAAGCATCGGGGGTAACCATGTTAGTTTGTATCCACAAAAGCAAGGAGGAGTCTGGTGGCATCTTAAAAACTAACAGATTGGGCACAAACTTTCATGGGGAAAAAACCCCACCATGCATCTGAAGAAGTGGGTTTTTTACCCACGGAAGCTTATGCCCAAATAAATCTGTTTTAAAAAAAAATTTTTCCCCCCTATATTTAAGCATTAAGGTATTCCTGCAGCAGTTTCCATTTGCCTTTCATTTCTATAGCTGATATAGCAGTGGTGATTAGTCAGTTTATAATTAACAAAACGGTGTGCAGCAAGTCTTAAGTTCCGATTCTTGTGAGGAATGGCATCACCCATTCAAATACAGTAATAAAAAGCTCTAAAAATAGAGCTGAATTACCCATAGACTTCCAGAAAAATTGTGCACATTAAGACATTTTATTGGGGGAGAGGGGGGAAAAAAACCCCACCAGATAATTGCTGGTGTTTCTTACAAAGTAGAATAATTAACTTGTTAGATTAACCGACGTTTTTGAACAGATAAGGCTTCCAGGAGCATATAACGTGAGTCATGTTGGCAAAGGGAGCATTCAATGTTGCTTTCTTCTAAATGAGCAGCCTGTAAACAAATCACATAAAAGGATTCAAAATGGGATAGTCCTTAAATTGTTATAGGAGACAACCCTGAGAACATCCTATTGCCCTGGCTATTTCTGTAGCTGAGTTTACATAAATAATGGGTTTAATTTACTTTTCCTCTACAAGACATTCAAGTGAAAAATTAGCATTTCAGATCAGGCCTAATCTGATTATTATAATGACATAGCTACATTTTTACATCTCAATGTGCAGTGAGAGGGGCTTTATGCCTATGCCATTGAAAGCTTAACTTTGCATCTTTTTAAAGGCAGATCTCCTACTCCCTCCTCCAGTGGCAAACACCCTAAATTGCAGTGATTTCTCTGGTAAAGGTGGGTTGTTCTGTAGTTTGGTCCGCCTGCAGCCTTATTCCAGGTACCCTGCGCTCCTGTAAACTCTTCTGTGAATGTACATATATGCAGCACTACTATTTTATGCCTATATAGCCATAGTTGTTGGCCTGTTTTACCACTGAAAAGTATAGCCCAGAAATCAACTTTAAATGCATACTTTTTTTCTGAAAAGAGATTAAATATAACCTCATGGGGTTTTTTATACCACCTTTCATATTTTAAGCATCTTGCTGCACTTAAATAGAAATGAGTTAAACACTGGTTCTACCCCAGTTATCTATGCAAACAGAGCAGCCATTATATACTCAACTATAGTTTGACAAAAACAAATTTTAATCACAGGGAATGTTAACCAAGGAATCTTGCTGATACTAGGGGGAGAGGGCAAGCAGAGACTGTTTTAATCTGACAGCAGTACGCCATAGCATGACAGTGAACATGTGACCCAGGGACTTAAACCTGATAACCTTCAGGTTCAGAAGTAAATGAACCATACTATAAACTTTGGCCATATGCTTACTGTTAATCTGAAAGGAATTACAATTCAGAGTATAGGGAATCATTAAAGCCTATTCAGGGTATTTAACTGATGAATACTGATTTAGTTACACCGCCCTTATATAATGCAAAAAAGACCAGCTGCAGATACAGTTGCAATCCAGCTCCCAATTTACCAGAAATCAACACTTCTCAAACACACACTCACTTCTGAGGGATCTGAAGAATGTTCATTTTCAGTCTTTGTTTTTTAAGCCACTGAGAAAATGAAACCTTTAGCACTTTGCAAGTATATTAATGCACAGCCTTCAAAGGAATAAAACTGGCTTAATTATTAAACATACTCCCTTACCTTCTGTAAGCCTGGCCTTTCCTCCAGTAGGCTGGCACAACACAGTTGAGCACCCAACGCACAGAACCACTGTCTGAGCATGGCTGAACACTGTGGTGATCTTGTAGCATCCTAAAAGGGAATACTGGTAAACTTAAAGTGGTTAAATATTTAAAGAGACATAGCAAAGTCTGCATCTATTTAGTTTACAACCTTCCTCCAACAAAAAGTTGGCAACTGCAAGATACTAGACAATTACATTTAAAAGTTCGTGATATTAGCAGTTGGACATTGCCTACAACAATACAAGTTACTCTAGGATGACACACAACTGTTCTACTGAATCAAGTCTCTGAAGCCTTGTCTACACTATCTAGTTAATCTCTCACTATTATGACTCCATGTGGGCAAAATTAGATATGACTGATTAAAATACCAAGAACTAGCTTACATTTGTACTCCCATTATTGATACCACTAGTGCATTTGGAATAATGAAAGATTTACAAAAGTACAGCTAAGAGCATCTATTGTGTGTCACCTGAACAACAGGCTTAGCTTTTCTTTGCCAAAACCCCATCCATTTCACTCAAATTTTTAATATACATTTGGGAGAAAAAATCTAAGAGCCTGAAGCATAAGAGAGCTCCTAAGTCAGTCCTCTGGCAAAAACAAAGTGAAACCCTGCTATTCTAATATAAAAAGCAAACAGAAGAGTTCTGAAAAAAAAATCAAACCCTCTTTATTGGAGCACAGAAAGTACACTCATTTTCCCTTTTATAGCAGATTTACGCAACAATTAGGAATGATATTTCATTGACCTTTCATTATCAGTCTTCACTGCACATAAGTTTCATTATTGTTATGCATAATGAAAGGGTAAAACTCTTAAATATTTACCTGGACACTTTACATCCATAAAGTAGGAATTTGGACTCTGCACCAGACGTTTCTTTTTGTGCTTTCTTTTCTCCTCCTCTAGAGATGGATGTGCTATGTCTCTATCCAACTAGATTTAATAGCAACAAAGGGTAAGTCATGGTATTGGATGGTAAATACTGCTCAATCCAGTTACATTAGTTGGGTGGGAGATTTCCTGTTGAGTTTATGCTGCTGTTTTGTTCTTAGTTAGTATATGTATATCAGTACACCAGTTCCAATGCTTTAAAACTAAAACCAACAGCATATGCAAGCATTTGTGTGTTAGAAACACCTGCAATACCACCACTACCTTTGGAGATGCTTCTTATTGTAATAGGTTTCAGAGTGGTAGCCGTGTTACTCTGTATCAGCAAAAAGAATGAGGTATATTTGTGGCACCTTAGAGACTAACAAATTTATTTGAGCATAAGCTTTTGGGGGCTAAAACCCACTTCATCAGATGCATGCAGTGGAAAATACAGTAGGAATATATATATATATATATATATACACACACACACACAACATGAAAAATGGGTGTTGCCTTACACACTATAATGAGAGTGATCAATTAAGGTGAGCTATTATCAGGAGAAAAAAACCTTTTGTAGTGATAATCAGGATGGCCCGTTTCCAACAGTTGACAAGAAGGTGAGAGTGACAGTAGGGGGGATAATAAACATGGGGAAATAGTTTTACTTCATGTAAAAAGAAAAGGAGTACTTGTTGCACCTTAGAGACTAACCAATTTATTTGAGCATAAGCTTTTGTGAGCTACAGCTCACTTCATCTGATGCATCAGACTAACATGGCTGCTACTCTGAAACCTTACTTTGTGTAACGACCCATCCACTCCCAGTCTTTATTCAAACCTAATTTAATGGTGTCCAGTTTGCAAATTAATCCCAATTTAGCAGTCTCTCATTGGAGTCTGTTTTTGAAGTCTTTTTTTTTTAAAGTCTTCAAAACCAGATTCCAAGGAGACTAGTCAATTGTTGGAAATGGGCCATCCTGATTATCACTACAAAAGGTTTTTTTCTCCTGCTGATAACTCACCTTAATAGATCACTCTCATTATAGTGTGTATGGCAACACCCATTTTTTTATGTCCTCTGTGTGTGTATCTATCATATCTATCGTCCTACTGTATTTTCCACTGTATGCATCCGATGAAGTGGGTTTTAGCCCATGAAAGCTTATGCTCAAATAAATTTATTAGTCTCTAAGGTGCCACAAGTACTCCTCATTCTTATAGTAATGTAATAGAACATGTACTATACTAGGACACACACTATTACATCGTTCTTTCCAATGCTATGTCTCTCACTATTGAACTAGCTGCATGAATCAATTCATCACTCTTGACTAAAAAAAATCAGATGTGAGTAGTGGAATAAAGAAAACTGGCAATGATTTCCGGATAGTTTGTTTCAGAGAGGGATTTCCAGTTCTACAATCTATCTTGGTTTCAAAAATCAGCGTGAAAGCATCAGGCTGCCATCACTGGAAAGGATAAGTGGGTTGCTGGACTAGGCATTTGTACACAAATAAAACAGGAATGCCTGGAAAAAACAAAGCTGCTAAAACCATCCATAATGGAACTGATGATTAAAGAAAACTCCTAAAACCTAGGCCACTGAGCTAACTCAAGGTAGCTGGAGTGCAGCCAATAGGCCAGCGCCAGTACCATGTGATTGATTGTTCCTTGAATGTTTTTCAAAAGACAACCCCACAGCTGCCACCTGCTAATCTGATGGTTCAGAACAGATTAAACCAATTAAGCACCCAACCCTCCCAAAGTGCAAACAAGTGTCCTCCGTGTTATCCACAGCAGAAATGAAACAGGGGCCAGCGTGGTCTAGAGGGGGCTCAATCCGCCTGTCTTTGACTTGAATGACTAAACTTTGTCTTCACTAGAGCAGGATGAGATATAACACCCCTACCCCCGAACTGGACTCCTTCCTGGCAGAGATAGTCCACACACAAGATAAAGGGAGAGGAAGAGGGCGGGAAAAGGGATTTAGGAAGGTCCCACAGTGGGGCCCCTAGCACTCTCAGCCCCACTACAGAGAAGCGGGGGGAGGGGGACGCGGCGGGCAGTCTCAGCAGCCAGGCCCCTGGCATCACAGACCCCAGGACGGGAGATTGGAGCACCTAGGCCCCAGGTGGCATCACAGACCCCAGTACAGGGCAGGACGGGAGATCGAAGCAGCCAGGCCCGTGGCGCTCTCATTCCCCTTTGGCGCAAGGCTGCTTTATTCTGAGAATCCAACGCGAGAAGCCAGTAACGGGCGTCCCGGCACGTGCGAAGGGCACGAGGCGCCCTCAGCCTCCCGTGAGCATGGGGCGCCCTGCTAACGTCGCCGCCCCCCATGTCCTGGGTGTCAGTTACTCCGTCCCCTAGGGCCGTTAGTGTCACGTGGCTGCGCCAACTCCCCAGTGTCCCTCCCGCCCAGCGCAGTGCCAGGATAATCCCCCCCGCGTCACATCTATCCCGGTCACGAGGGGAGGGTTGCCCGCGCTGCGGGCCCCTGGAGCTGGGTCCCATACACAGGGCTGGGGGAGGGCACATTCCCCTGGCCGCAGTCTGAGGCCCTTCACCCCACCCTTCAGGGGGCTGCTAAGGTGATTCACTCGCTGGGTCCCAACGCTGTAAACAAAACAACTCACAGGCATGTTGTCTCCCCAACCGGAAGTACCCTTCGAGTGAATGACAAGTGAACGGGGCGGGCCTGTCGGGCCACGGCAACGAATCTGCGCTCATAGGCCGACTGCCGCTTCCGGGAGGCGGCGCGCAAGAAGCGTGGTGGTCTTTTCTCTATGGTCCTCGTGGCGCTCTCATCTCTCCTATGGTGGGGCTTGGTGAGTCTCTGCCCTGGCGAGTTACGGGTATCCGAGCGCTTTTCAACTCGCTTCCCCCGCGTGAGTCCTTCAGACTCCCCGGCCTTGCGCTTCGATGGGGAGACCGTTAGCCAGCCTGGATCCCGGCGGCCGGCAAGAACCTTGCTTGCAGCTTCCCACACAGACAGGACGGAGGTGGGCACAATCCGGCCGCTCTGCGGGGAGACCCCAGGGCCAGCGGCCTGATACGCAGCCCTGATCCCTGCCGACCCACGCCAATGACGGGCTCCGAGGGTGGATGGCTAGCTACTGGGCACCCCTTCCTGACAGGGCCGCAAGGCCTGGCTGCCCCTGCGGAGACCACGGGGCCCTGCACCCAACGCTGAGGCTAGCGCTTCTGGGGTGACCAAGCGAGTCCCACAGAGACAGCAGGCGAGCCTCAGGCCTGGCTCTCTACAGTACAAAACATTGGCGATACAAAACATCTTTTCTACCAAGAAAACCTCCACCTTATTCTACAGGAAGTGCCCCAGGACCTTGTAGAGCAGTGGTTCTCAACCTTTCCAGACTGCTGTCTCCCTTTCAGGAGTCCGTTTTGTTTTGCTTACCCCAAGTTTCACCGCATTTAAAAATGACTTGCTTACAAAATCAGACATAAAAATACAGAAGTGTCACAGCACACTAGGACTAAAAAATTGCTTACTTTCTCATGTTTGCCATATAATTATAAAATAAATCAATTGGAATATAAATATTCTACTTACATTTCAGTGTGATACTTGAGCCTCTGTTTCACTTGTGAGCCTTGTCTGAAGCCCATGCCGTGCCACCCGAGACTGAAGCATGGAACTTAGCTTTATGGGCCCCCCTGTGCATGGGGCCCCAGGCAATTACCCTGCTTGCTACCCCCTAATGCTGGCCCTGCACTTGTGACCCCCTAAACCTGTCCTGTAATCCCTCTGATGGTCGCAACCCCCAGGATGAGAAACTGATCTAGAAGAATTGAGTATGCCCTGGAAGACCTCTGTGTACCCCCACGGGTATGCATACCCCTGGTTGAGAAACACTGCTGTAGTGTTTCAGGCCATTATATAGGCTTTCCACTTTTAATGGTTTCTTCTCTAGGGCACATAAATTGAGTTATGACAGAATAACAGTAAGCTGACAGTGTCTCTCGATGATCTGATGTGTTGATGGTAGGGGCATTTTAAAAATTATATTTTTGTATAATTTTTAGATTAAAAAGAAAAGGAGTACTTGGGGCACCTCAGAGACTAACAAATTTATTTGAGCATAAGCTTTCATGAGAAGTGAGCTGTAGCTCACGAAAGCTTATGCTCAAATAAATTTGTTAGTCTCTATAATGCCACATGTCCTCCTTTTCTTTTAGTGAATACAGACTAACATGACTACTACTCTGAAACCTTTTAGATTAAAGCATTTATAATACAAATTGCATTATAAATGCTTTAATCTGAAAAGACTCCGCTAACACTTGGCTCTGTTTACTGTCCTACTAGTTATCAGTACAGAGCAGCTGACTTGCTTTATAATACTTTCCTCTCCCTTCCAGTCTTTTGCCTTCAAATGTATCCTATTTACCTGTAGGTTGAAAATAAAAATGTAACAACCAGATGGTTGTTTCGGGAGGAGGATTATAAAATTCTTCGACCAAGACAATACCTTCATTATACATAACTCACCAAAGAAATGACAAAGCATCCTCCTCCTTTTCCCCTCCTACATTACCATTCCATTCTTTTAATTTTTCTCCTGCTAGAACACTCTAATGCCCTATGAAGATTTTTGAGTTAGAGTTTACATTAAAAATAGAGGTTTCTAGGGAAGGAGAGGCACAGAAGCATGATCCAAAAGCAGGATGTCAGCGCCACGGTTGAGTTCTGGCTCTCTATTTTGAGTTTATTTGGAGCTTCATTTTGTAGTGTTCGCTGCTTACTGTGTCAAAGTGTGAGTGCTTGCCACTGTCAGCTCAGTGCTCAGAATGTCTACATAGATCCCCCTATGCATCCCCTTAAAAGCAAATACTACAGCTGCAATTCAAATGTTAAAAAAATAAAATACAAGTTTATTTTGTTGCAGAATAAGAACAGGAAATTAAAGATGTTGAACATCAACTGTGTAAGGGGTAACTTGAAAGATTCCTGAAGATGGACTGGAAACATCAAGGCCCAGTTTAATAGTAGTTATGTTTAGAAAAAGGTGACTGAAAACTTTTTGTTGTCTAACAGCTGAAGTTGAGCTTCTCTAAATGCATGCATCATAGTGTCCTTTTGCTGAACTATCCCTTTTTGCATAGAATACTTCTCCATTGTGGTTGCAAGGCAGAACTTGAGTATCCTGCTTACCCCCTGTTTCACTCGGTTCTGCTCCATTCATTGCCTTTTGGAGATGGGATATTTTTCTGGGGTTTGCTCTGTGGTGTGGTCAGAGTATATGGTGGATTTTGATTAGAAATTATCTTCTTGATGTACACAGATTACAATATTATTTTTCCTGGACTTGGTCTACCCCAGTGATTCTCAACATTTTTTCATTTGTGGACCCTGGAAAAATTTCAAATGAAGGTGAGGACCCCTTTTGAAATCTATTGTCTGTATATATATAGTTGAATTCTGTTCAGTTAGTTTTCAGTCTAATACTTTCACGAATCCCTCAGACATAGTGTTGCATGGAGCACAGGTTGAGAACCACTGGTCTACACTACAGAGTTATGTGGACGTAAGGCTTACATTGACCTAATTATGTCAGTGTCTACACTAGAATGCTACTTATGCCGAAGTAAGTGGCCTGCTACACTGATATCATAACTCCACCTCCAAGAGGCATAGTGCTTATGTCAGCGTAGTAAGGGTGACGCAGTGTCCGTGTAGACCAGGATCTCAAACATGCTGCCCTGCCCCTGCACTGCTCTGGAAAGCGGCTGGGACTGGGTGGAGAGGGAGGCACAGGGGTCTATGTGTTGCCCTGGCCACTCCTCCAGGTACCTCCCCCGAAGCTCCCATTGGCCATGGTTCCCCGTTCCTGGCCAATGGGAGCTTTGGGGGAGGTACGTGGAGGAGCGGCCAGGGCAATACACAGACCCCTGTGCTCCCCCCCGCTCTCAGGTCCCGGCTGCTTCCTGGAGCAGCGTGGTGGCAGGGCAGGCAGGCAGGCAGGGAGCCTGCCCTGACCCCGGTGTGCGGCGGGCCAGACCTGCTCCCTGAACCCCTTCTGCAGCAGAACCCCCTGCTGCACCCCACATCCCTCCTGCACCCTGACCCCCTTCCCTGAGCCCCCTGCTGCACCCCCACCCCTCTTGCACCCTGACCCCCTGCTGCACCCCACACTGTGACCCCCTTCCCTGAGCCTCCTGCCACACCCCACACACCTCCTGCACCCCAGCCCCCTGCCCAGAGCCACCTGCTGCACCCTGACCCCCTGCCCTACCCTGCACCCCAAGCCCCTGCCCTGAGCTCCCTGCCGCACCTGCACCCTTCTGCACCCCCGGGGGGCAGGGAGGCGGCGGAGTTGGGGTGGGGATTTCAGGAAAGGGGTTGGAATGGGGGCAGGGAAGGGGTGGGAAGAGGGGGGCAGGGGCGGGGCCTCATGGAAGGGGTGGAGTGGGGGCGGGGTCAGGGCAGCAGGGGGTGGTCAGTGTCCTGGGCTCACAGCTGGATCCCCCAGCCTGGAGTGACAGCTGAGCACAGGTTGAGCATGGGAGCCTTCCAGCTGTGAAATTGACATTCTTGTCAGTGTCAGGGCTCCAGCTGGGAGCCTCCCATACTGCTGACAAAAATGTCAATTTCAGCATTGGTTGGCTCTGTGCTGTTAAATTGACTGGGGGCTGGGCTCACAGCTGTCACCCTGGGATGGGGTGGGGGCTCTAGCTATGAGCTTTGTGCAGCTGTCAGTGCCACACAAGGCCCCACTTCAGTTGGTGTAAACTCTCCTGGTGAGAACATGCACCACCAGCAGAAGGAGAGTAGTGTAGACACCAGCAGCTGATTAAATTACTGCTGTAGCTGTAGCAGGTTGGCCTAAATTAAATCAACCTAATTTTGTACTGTAGACAAACCCCTAGAAAGAGATACTTATTGACTGATCATGACTTCACAATAATAATTTAATTTCTAATGGCTTGTTTAGAAGAGGGAAATTTATACAGGTGTAACTAGATTGATGTTACAGGCAGATTTCCACACTGTAGATCTAAGTTCAGTTAATACTTAAGTTCACTTAAATGGCATGTTTGATCTGGAGACTCTGTCGGCCTGGGGTCTTATCTGTATTACAAACTGAAGCAGTTTAAGAAAAATATATTTTTAGATTGGTTTTAAGTGGACTCTTAAATGAATTTTAACTTGTCATATTGATTTAGCTTCAATTGGCAAGGACATTTGAAGCAGTTTTAAAATTGAGTGTCCAGACAAAGTTAGCATTTATTTAACTGAATTGATTTAATAGCACACGAAAGTTAGCACTGGTTTAACTAAATTGATTTAGTAGCACACACACATGCAACTTGTAGCATGTATAAGATTCAAAGTAATGCTTTTTCTTCTTGGGGTATGGGCAGATTGAAACGTGTGCATATTTAATTAACTTTGCATTGCATTACTAAATGAGTCCATGTAACACCTTCCTAGATCGAGTTCTCTTAATATGCATATGAAAAGAGTTCACACTGCCCATCATTTGTGTAATGAAGAGCACATCTCTGCTTAAAGACTAAAAAATTAAGAATACAGAAAAATCCACTTGCAGGTAACAGCAGGGCTTACAGAAGGCACTGTCACAAGGCCTAGAATGAATCCAGAAGCACCTAGATGCAATGCAGGACCTGCTACTACAACTGAGAAAAAGATGGCAGATTATTTTGAAGTAATAGATGTAACAGTTTCAGGTGATGGATACCAACTGGTTTTAACTCACAATAGCATCTTCCCAAACCAGTCATTCTTAAGTGGAGAATACTATTATATTTAGTTAGCAGACTCCAAAAGCTGGAGAACAAAGCTCACAATGATGTGCAGTTAGATGGTGTAATGATGTGCAGTTAGATGGTGTTCATAGATGGTTGAAGCAGTTCTGGGACCGGTGGATTCCACAAGTGCTTAAAATAACAGCATCTAGAAGGGTCTAAGAGCTACCCGTGTATTTCAAACCATTCTGCTGGTGTTTGAAATCTTATAGTCTTACAACAACGCATTAAAATCTCCCAGAACTTCTGACCCCTTTAGCAAAAGATCTTAAGTTTCTGAGTTTTGCCACTACTGAACAAGTTCTGCATTCAGTGGGCCTATCGGTTTTGTATTCAGTCAGGCTTTCCTTTGAACAAGGAGGAAAGAGATATTTGAAAATTCAGAAGTGATGGTATTTGCCAGCCAAGACAATAGAAATGGGAATGGAAGTTGAATTAGATGCTTTACTCTCATACGAATTTCAGATCATTCAAGTATGTGCAGACCAATTACAAATAATTTGTATTTTTTCCTCTGTACATAAAATCGTTTATTTAGATTTTATATTTGTGACATTTTATATGATATTAGTGAGCATAAAAGGACTATTTTGCTGTGCACGTCTTTAATGCCTTTCATCCAAGGATCCCCACCGGAGTTCTTTACAAACCATCTGTTCTTCATTAAATCTTACCATAGTTCTTTGAGGAAGGTAAGGGCTACATATGTATTACTTCACCCCCGATGAGTTGTTGCCATCTCTTGGGTGGGACTTAGCAGTTGTTTAACAGTACACAATACAAAAAGATGTGGGTTAACTTAAAACTATTATAATCAGGTGATATGACCAGGGGAATTTAGTTTAAAGTTGAAATTGACTAGGGTTAGTATATGATTTGGGGTTTAAGAAAGGCTGCATTACCATTCCTTCAACATACAAATCAACACTACAACAATCTTTTCTATTTTGTTCCTATGGAAGTGTAACCCTTTAGATAGCCCATAATATTAACTTTCTTCTACCTCCCACCCTCTTTAAAAACAAAACAAAACAAAAAAAACCCTTAGTCCCTCATTAGTAGATAGAAATATATCTGTCAAACAGAAATAAAATTTTCTGTCATTGCTCACATTTGTCTAGCATGTGATGCACAACTTTTTTTTTTTAATGTAATGCTATAGCAAAGATTGGTTTGAAACAATGGAATTTTTATAGGGCAAACGTCACAGTAGTTGTTAAGGCCTAACAGCCTTGACACTGTCCTTTCAAACACAGTCAAAGAGCTTTGTGAGGTATACAGTTTGTACAGTAGCAGTTTTTACATACTAAACAAAGGCAGGAAAAAACGTAAATATCAGTGAGTTTTCATGTCTTGTTTTTAAGGTAATTTTTAAGTTGGTGGTTAAATAAACATCTGTCTTGCAAGTCTAGCAAACTGGCACTTTTCCCATTCAGAACTGAGTACAATATTGCAAAGCACCACTGTAATTAACGAGTGAAGTGATTTTCTTTATTTTTCTATAAAATTACTCCTGAATAGCAGATGGTGAACACAAACATGTTGCTCCAGAGACATATGAAAACCTATCTGTTCCATAAAAGCCTCTTCATTGCTGAACTAGGCTGATGTGGTAATCTTTAAAAAGGCCCGAATTAGGCTATGTAGCCACTCAGGCCTCAGAAAATAAAATAAATGGAAAATGTTTCAGTGATTAGTTTTTCATTAGTAGTTTCCCCTAATCTGATGGTTCATGCTGGTCTGAAATAATTAACCTATTCAGTTTTATTGCTTCAGTGCCAGATTAGGCTGTCATCATTTATAATCTTAAATCTTGTAATAAATAGCCCAACAGCCCATCTTAATAACACGCACACAGCCAACTACCATTGATGTAGAAAGAAAAAAACTAAGCAACCATATTCCAGAATTTCAGTTTGAACAATGCTGAGCATTACGAGTGTGAAAAAAATCTTGTATTGCTCCATTGTCTTTGCTCTGCCGACGATATCCTGATCTCCCTGAGGTGTTCGTTAGCGGAACAGACTGAGATTTCTGCTCCACTTGTTGACATGATATCCAGTTGTGGAGGTCATATAATGTTAAATCATAATATAGTAAACCAAAGGTTAGTTCCAAGTTCTTGTTGAAACAGACTTCCAACTTGTAGAGAATTTGAAACCAGATTTGTCATTGGATTTGTGTTCATAGTTTTTAACTGTACATCTTGCTCCCATGTCAGGAATCTCACAATGCTTAGACCTTTATTTAAAAGAAAGGTTTGGAATAATGTTGATTGCATTTGTTTCTTCAAGACTTCTTCTTAATGTATTTCATTGTTTGGGGCAGCTCCTGATTACATTTTGTCCAAATGCAGCAGTCCATATTCTTCTAGCTGGCCAATTAATAGAATGCTTTGGCCCTGTTTTAAGATCTCTAGGTTGGTTCCCCCATCAAATTATGGTTTAATTTCAAAGAGTGATTACGATGTTTGATGCACGTGATGTATGTTGGCTATCTATGTATGACTGAACCCCATGCATCTCAAGTTCTTTACTTAGTTCAAAGTCAGCAGGTAACATAGCTTGTCCTAACGTACATCTGTGAGAAAGGACATTTGGCAAC